TAAAGACATTACCAGGTGTGTCTTAAATTTATCCAGAGTCCATTTTTCTGGGCACTTTCATCCACAAGTTAACAAGCTTCACGTTTTCCACACCTGCTTGTCTTCAAGGCCAGGGGATGGCAGCCACTTTGTGTAAAGGGCTGAATAGGTGATGGTGTAGGCTTTGTGGGCCATGTGGCCTCTGTTGCAACTGCTCAGCCCTGCTGTTTCAGTGTAATACATCCAAGAACACACATGGGTGTGAGCCAATAAAACTTTATTCATGGAAAAGGAAGTTTGAATGTCACCAACTTTTCATGTGTCACGAATTTAAAAATCAAAGAACTGTCCTTGTTTCTCTCTGTACAAGAACACCTAGTGCACAGGTTTGGTCTGTAGGTCGCTGTCTGCCAACCTACTCTCTGCCATGAGGACCACTTGCAATACAGAGGCGCCTTTAGTATACCAGGCAAGTTCTAGGTTCCAGAGTTACCTCAGCACTGCTGGTGTCTACCCTGCACCCTTGAATACTGAAGAATAATGGTGAGGTCAGATTATGGTGCACCAGCAAACAAACCCTAATCTCCATCAGAGGTCCTTTGAAAGTGTGGGCTACTTACTAGGTTAGCTATCAAACCTTAAATGACTCAGCTTTGTTCTTCCATATCAACACCTCCCTCCTCTATATTGACAGGGGACAACCAACTGCTATCAAGTCGATTGGAACTTATAGCTACCCTATAGATTGAGTAGAACTAGCCCTGTGAGGTTTCACGACTGTAACTCTTTACAAGAGTAGAAAGACCCATATCTCTCTCATGGAGTGGCTGCTGGTTTCAAACTGCTGACCTCAGGGTTAGCAGCCCAACCTGTAACCACTGCACCACCAGGGGACAAGAACGTGGAACATTAACATTACACAGCAGCTCTTAAAGGCTTTGCTCTGGAAGTGGCCTGTGTCCATTGGCAATGCTAACCACATGGCATGGTGGTTTTAAAATACATCTGCAAATTCTTAGACTTCCACTAAGTCGCATCAACAATGGGCTCACACATATCAGAGATCAAACACATCCGAGAGAGCGTGCAGAACTGGGAGCATTCCGTTCTCTGGTACGTGGAATCGTTATTCATCACAGCTGACTTGCTATCAACCGACCACAGAAGCAAAGGGTTTTCACATCCTGGCCTTGACTGTTGCTTGTGTCATGAGTGATCACTTGAAACACAAATTTTAGGAACCACCCATGTCCAAACTCTCAAACCCCAAGCGATCTGCAGGCAAGAGAGGATCAATACGTGCATTCCCTAACCTCACTTGAGGAAAACACAAGGAACTCATGATCCCATTTGACCCTGGAGCAGCACACTGGGCCCCTGGGGACCCGGGGAAAGACACAAAGCTCCTTTTCCTGAAGGTCGTGTTGCACTTCTTGAATTTTATGCCGCGTCTTCCTGAATGGAACGAAGCTTTTGACTTTAAAAAATAAGAATCTGGCCTTGAAAATATGACATTGCCTTTCTAACTCTTTTTAAGAAACAGTTGTGTTGGCACACAACCCACACACCATACAAATCAATAGTTCAATCATATCAAGAAGAGTTGCACAATCATTACCACAATCAGTATGTTTAAAATACCGACAGCGAGTTCTTGCTCTGTCAGCACACACACTAATATTGGAGCAATACAGAAAAGATTAGCATGGCCCCTGAGCAAGGATCACATGCAAGTTCATGAGGCATTCCGTATTAATAATAATAATAATAAAAAGAAACAAGTTGACCAATGATTGCCATGGGTGCGGGAAGATGAGAGGCTGCTTATGGGCATTGGTTTTATGTTCCTGGTGGCGGAACAATTTGGACAAGGATAGTTGCGCCACATGAAGAGTATCATCAATGGCACCGAATTATACATGTGGAAGTTGATGAATTAGAGAATGTTTTATTGTGTCTATTTTGGCCACAATTAAAATAATTACGCTAATTTTAAAAAGTAATAAAATAAAATCCCTATCGTGATGATTCCTGTTTTTCACATTGCATCTTGACCGATTCAAGAATGGATATTCCGTATAAAGAAACATCACATGTAAGTTTCAGTAAAATAATTTGTTTCATGCTGATGCCTCAAACTTGCTTCCAAAATGCCAAACTCAGTCACGGAGTCAACGCATCAGGACCCTGTAGGAGAGAGTAGAATTGCCCCTATGGGTTTTTGAAACTGCACATTTTGTTTGTTTGTTTATTTAATTTATTTATTTGGAA